AGGTCAGGCCCCCACAGTGAGAGAGGGAGGGGGATAGAGGCCGGGCTGGGTGGTGGGAGGATCAGAGCCCAGGTGGCTCTTCCAGGCACACGGGGGGGCTTCTGCTGCTACATGCACCGTCAGAGGCCCGGGGGCCACGTGTCCCCCATTCTGCGTGAGGCAGAGGCGGCCGCTGCTGCATCTTAGGCTGTGTGCCCCAAGCCCCACTGCAGCTGCCCCAGGAATGGTGTGATGCCACGTACGTCCCACCACCTGGCTGAGCCTTGCCCCCCACCTGCCCAGTGGCGGGACACATGGTGTCGCACCGCTTCTGGGGCAGCTGCACTGGGGCTCAGGGTGCAAAGCACAGTCCACCCTGTGCACAGATTGGGGGGGTGGGGACATGCACCCCAGGCCTCCGCCAAGGTGTGTGCAGTGGCAGGAGCCCCACCCCCCCGGTGTGCCTGCACAAGCTGCCTGGGCTCCGATCCTCCCACCGCCTGGCCCGGCCGGGGCCCCCCTCACCTCAGCCCCTACTCCTGCCTGTGCCCCACTCTCTCCCTTACCAGAGAGGCCTTGATTTGGCCCCCATCCCTTCCCTCCCCCACAGAATGAACTGCTGGGTGTTGGGGGGATCTTCCCTGCCTGTCCCCAGCTGAGCCCATCCCACATGCAGCCTGGGGAGGGCAAGGGCGGATGTGGACAGGAATAGCTCTGGTGCTTCCCCCAGGCCTGAGGACAGCAGGGAAAGCAGCAGTGTCAGGTATCTTGCCCCTGAAGCAGAGAGGAGCGAACAAAGGAAGGAAACGGAGGGAAATCCTAGCCTGCTACCTACCCTCTCCCCTGTGGAAAGACCTGCAACCTCTGTGGGTCTGGGGCTGGAGTCACCTCAAGACCTATCAATGAGCTGTGGCAGGGATCATCCTCAAGTGGAGGGATTGCTGCTGATAACTGTGAAGTCCCCAGAGGCTCCTGTGGTGCAGTTCAGTACAAAATGATCTGCCCCTCTGCACTCGACTCCCTGCACCCTCTTTTCAAAATCCTAGATCTGCCCATCCCAGCGCCTCTCTCATTGCTCGGGAAGCCCAAACCTGCCGAAGTGGCAGAAAAAGTCCATAGGGATTTATTACTGACTCTCTTGCCAGACAAGGACAAGGAGGCACAACATGAAACCGGCAGGCAGGAAGTCAAAAACTTGAGGCCACAAGTTCTTTTTCCCCCGGCATGTCATCAAAGTTGGACTTTGTGGGTTGCAGCAGCAGGACAGGGACCCTGGGAGGGGACAGCAGAGCCCTGCCAGGATGGCAGAGTACAAGCTGAGGGTGGTGGGGGTGTGTGGCGTTGGCAAGAAAGCACTCGCCTGCCAGCTCATCCAGAACCATTTTGTCGGTGAGTACATCGCGGAGGACTCCTACTAGAATCAGGGGATGATCGATGCGGTGACCTGCCTGCTGGTCATCCTGGACATGGGCGTGCAGGAGTGCAGTGCCACGCACGACCAGCAAGATTTGGTTATGCACACAGGCAAGGGCTTTCTCTGCGTCTTCGCCATCAGCAACACTAAGTCCTTCGCAGACGGCTACCACTACAGGGAGCAGATCAGCTGGGTGAAGGATGTGGATGATGTCCCGATGGTGCTGGTGGGTAACAAGTGCAACCCGCCCTCCTGGACGGTGGACATCGTGCACACTCAGGAGCTGGCAAAGAGCTACGGCATCCCCTTCATTGAGATAGTCCGAACGAGACGGGGTGCAGCAGATCCTGAAGCACAAGGAGAAGATCAGCAATGGGTGCAAGAAGAAGTGCATGATCCTCTGAAAGACACACGTGCTGGTGCAGGAGGGGAGAGGACCTCCCTTGTCCCTTTCCCTCCTGGATCCCTTTGGTTTGCATACGACGGCAGCAGGGACGGTGGGCTGTTTGGAGCAGCCAGACAGAGAAAGCAGCAGAGACCAGGAACATGACTGTTCGCTCTGTTTTCTGGCTCTGTTCACCCCTGGTACCCTGAGACTCCAACTCGCAGCAAGTTTAAAAACTTGGCACTATCTCCCTCCCTCTTGGGTGAATCCTACCTGGCCAAAAACTCCAGTTCGCTTTGCTGGCCTGTCTGATGTGCCAAGGAGATGCTGCCTGCAATAGCGCTGGGCAGAAAAATAGGCAGTGAAATCTGAGGAGCCAACGGGCTGTCATTCCTCCCTGCCTGCTCATAATCCACATGGACACAGGTGACAGGCTCCTCACCCTTGCTCTTACCCTGTGAATATCCCTCCCTTATCTCAGTG